CTGTTCTGTGAGCTGTTTGCATTCTGCTTTCTCGTGACTGCAGTTGAGTTGGAGGAGAGTGCAGCTAAAGCCAAGGTAAAGGCAGCTTTTAAACACGTAATGATCTCAGTAAGCCTCACTCACCTAAACAACTAATCATCAAATAAAATTACTGTCACTTTATTTATTTTTCTTATAGAGTGGTCCAGTGAATGATCGTCATCAAGCTCAACACTCAGGTAACATTTGAATCATTTACATGAATTGTTATGGAGTCCCTTAAGGTTCATGCCAAGAACTTTTTGATTCCATTGACCTTGAAATACTTCTGCATTCTCTCCATTGTTCTTTACGTTCCCTCTGATACGTACAGTCAGTGTTGGTCCAGTCAATCAATATCAAAATCAATCAATATATCTTTATTGTCATTGTATAGATGCAACAGAACTGAAAGTTCAGTCCTCTGTATAAACAAGCAGTAAAAAGACCCTCTATGCTACGTGTCCACAGGGGCAGTTTTACCTGCGTGGCAATGCGTTGCTTCTGAATATCGCCCGCTTGACAGGCGTGCACTAGCGGGCCACCAGGTGGTCACATGACGGTCACGTTTCCATTCACCAGACACCAGTCCTGTACAAGCAGTGAACCAACATGGCGGCTCGGCTGCAAACTTTGGGTTTTTTTACAAAAACTATTCAGCAAAAAGTATTTCTGAAAAGATTTGAGGTGAGAAATAAGCGATGCAGTTGCTGAATCTGTCCTCATTTCAGTTCAACAACAGCTAATTTAAAAAACCTTGAATGTGAGGTAACACCAAACTGGGAACACAAGGAGTATGGTGAGGTAACGTCAAGAGTGTTGCAACACAATGCAAAACTTATTAAATGCAAAAGTGCTGCAAGGAAACACAAAAACATTGTGAGGGAACCCAAAAGGTATTGCAACAGAACAGAAGTATTGTGAGGTACAGCAACAATGATGTAACACAAAACTTATTGAAAGCAATCGCAAAGGCATTGTGAGGAAATGCAAAACTGGTCACGCAAAGTTTAATATGAGGGAACGTAAAAGCATTGCTGAGTGAAAAACTACTTTTGGTCAGGAATCACTGAAGTGTTGTGGGGTAAAGTAAGATCTGACTCACTAGCTGTAGGCTGCAGGTAAAGGCCTGCCATTGGCCGCTCCTGTCAGTCAGCTTTCTCTTCTCCTTCTGCTATCTGCGGGTTATCGTTTTTAAAAGCAATTTTTGAAACTTTTGCGGAGGATTGGATCGTGCAGTAAGGCAGCTCTGCTAGTTTTTCTCCTCAGTTATCCATTTTGTTACAGATGTTCCATCACAAACATGTTTCAGCTGTTCATTTCTTCAAACTCTGTATTTCACAATGTCATTTCAAGAGTCTTTGCAGTATAACCTACTGATGTTCTTTTGTGTGTTTCAGTGATGCCTGTGCTCACACTTGTGTTAATTGGTGACTCTAATTCCATTGAAATTGGACCAAAAAACTTCTTGATTGACCACGAAGAGCAAACAAATGTGGAGCAGTTTTCATCCAAACTGTATGATTTGTGTGGTCGGCACATCTCTGTCATTAACATGCTTGCTTCTCCAAACATTGACAAACTCCCATTAAATCAGGAAATTGATGCCTTTCTCTTACTGATGCCAAATGGTCTGCACAGCAGCCAATACGAAGGAACAATTCAAAACTTAGAAAGTATTTTTGAGGCAGCACTGCTGTCTTATGTAATAACAGTTGTGACACATAAACAAGGTGAAACTTGTCAAAGTGCACTGGCAGATCTGAAGGCTAATAGCAGTTTTTCAGAGAAGAGGTACCACACATGTACAAGAGACATGATGAATGAAACAGAGATCATAGCTCTACTGGAAAAAATAGATGTCATGGTCTCAGAAAACAATCAGAAGTTCACGAGACGAATGTGTGATGAAAATGAAGAGCAGAGAGAAAACCTGGACCACAAATCCGACAAAGAAAACTGGGTCGAGACAGGTGAGACTTTCATTTGTACAGAACTTGAATTACTAACACAGCAAAGCTTTACTTTTCAACCTGTTTAACCTAAAAATATGTAGTTGAATAATTGTAGCCTGTGTTTTCCAAAGACAGATTCTGAAACACTTTACACAGTTGCTTGTANGGTAAAGAGCGGAGCTGCACAAAGGATGTTGAACTACTAGCGGTTGGTTTGCGGTCGTTTCACCTGCCGAGGTAGAGGGAGGCGGTTGCAGGTTCCACCCCCCTGTCGGCTGATGCTGCTGCAGCCTGTGAGCTCATCCATAGTTCAGTGTCCCAGCTGCAAACATCACAGCCTCAGTCTGTGATGGTCATCTCACGAGACCTTAATCATACATCGCTCTCCCCACATTCAGCCAGGATGTGGACTGACTTGAACCTGCTGTGTGCCAACACTGAATGCATATTACTCAGTTATTGTTATTTTCTGTGCCTCTTTCTGTGTTTTTGGATGCTGCTGTTTATAATAATTTCCCAGGTCTGGGATAAATAAAGTCTATTCTATTCTATTCTATTCTATTCTATTCTATTCTTTGAAGGGGGAGACATGCTGTGGTGGTGTATTTGCAACATAAAAAAAAAAACAAAAAAAAAAAACAGAAATTTGAAGTAGCAGCAGCTAGGATTTAGGAATGGTGGCCCACTGCTCCTTAATGAATGTAGAGCAAACACTGAAGGTAAATAACTGGAATAAAATCTATGACCTCAGTGTGGTCCCTTCTCAGAGTGATTAGATTTTGGGGTCAATACATGCATTGATGACCGCTACAGAGGTCAAAGGTCACACTTCCCAAAACAGCTCCGTGTGACTGAAAATGCAGAAGAAGACACGAGTCTAGTGTTCTGACTTAGGAGGACATTGGAGGCCTCTAAACTGGTGATGTGACACATGACCTTGAGACAAAGGTCAAGGTCACACTGAAGGTCTCAATCACAAATTTTACATCCATTATAACTTGGAAAAGGTGTGAAATAAACACATTATTTTATTAGAATCAGACAGGAACCCTTATTGGATCAGAATCAGGTAAACATGCATACATTGGACATCTATGTCCCTCTACTGAGGACTCTCTGGTCACAGCAATACAACATACAAACTAATGAAGAAGCTCAAGATTCACAACTGAAGTCCATATATGTGCTAAAACATTTTGAAGTGCCATTTTTCAGTAGCACAGGAGCTCCAGTTGAAAGCTGTTTCTACAATATAAAGGAAAGAGTGTCTTTGTGTATAGAATAATGTTTTTAAAGGCCGATGCACAGATTAGTCTGACGTGATAGTCTGGAATAACCCTGACATGTGAGGCTAACATGCACTATGTTCTACGGTCTTAAATATGTAAAATGAGAGTTTTCCAGAAACACAAAGAAACCTGGTCTTTCAGAAGATATGAAGCAGTTATTTTATTATCACTCTTCAAAAACTGTGAATAACAGGAGATCAAATCAACATTTCTGAATGAACAGTGAAGTAAATGATAACATTCTTCAGTTTCTTCATATTCAGGCTGGACTTCAGCAAAGTTCAACAAAGCAAGATTCTGATGAACCAAACAAAACAAAAGGTGTGAATATGATGACAGGCCGACTGAATGGAGGTTAACACAACAGTTTGTTATTTTGTTCATCATGTTTCAACTTAAAATGGAGAAAAACACAAACACACAATAAATGTTTGATGTTATTTAAAGGTAGTTATACAGATATAAGCCTTACATTCCTTATAATAAAAAGCCAGCAGCACCAACCACCCATTGGCCAACCTGTGTTTTATCAGTACATTGCATTTGGCTTTAAACTTCACATATTCTGATACAACAAAACAAAAAGTATTCATATTTACAGGCAACACATCAGTCCTCTTTGTATTTCTCATAACAAATAAGAGGAAAAATCACCATATTGATTTCTGCTTTGCCTTCATTGAAGCTTTTTTCTTAGAGATCTTCACACACCAGCTTTATCGATGACACAGTGGTTTAATATTGACATTAATATATTGGTTTTAATGACTCACTATTTATCAGATCACTACTGTATTACTTTTCTATTTAAGTGATAATTTGAATAAAGCAAACCAGTTTTTGTTTACCGGTCTAATAATCAACACTTAATGACTCATTAACTTCTAATTCTAAAAGCAGTGAAAGCAGGAGATTGTTTAATCTGACTTTTGTGGCAGTTTGTTTGATCTTTGCACACAGACTATAATTATCAATATGAGGATCAAACTATGTTCTTGCCTCCTATCGAGATGAGCTGAGCGGTCAGGTGACCTGTCTGAAGGAGAGCGTTGACTCTGATTTCAGAAATGTTTCACGAATCAGAATGTGTTTTTCTAGCTGTTGTAATTGTGTCGACTCACTCACAGCTTGAACATTTCATCCAGACGAAGACTTTTTTTTTTCCGGTATACCCAGACTTTTAATAGCGTCTTTTTTATTGTGTGTTTTCCACTCGCTGGGAATTCGTCCATCACCCTCGAACTTTAAACCATAGTGCTTCTCCAGCTGCTTCTCAAATCGACACACAAACCATTTCCAGTATGGTAGCTTCGATTCATCAGGGGTAATTCTCCAGTTTGCGTACCTTGGTCCAGCAGTTCGGTACTTTTTATAAGGAATGGAGTTTTCTGACTCTCCATCAGGGTAAAACCTGTTGTCACTTGCAACTTTTGTTGTGCAGAATTCAACAGACATCTCCACTGTGTTTCTGTAGTGCACACCATTCACTGCAGTGGATCGATGAAAAGGGACGCTGTGGTCATCAGGACTGTGATCTTCCAGGGTGTTGGTGCAAACAGCTGCACAGAATGGACACGTCACCCAGCAGCACTTACACAGCTGATCAATGAGGATTTGATCAGGTTGCTGCCTGAATTCCTTCATCTTATCCAGTGAGATGAGACTCATCTCCTGAATGATGGAAGCAAGGCCTTTCTTTATCTCATCTTTCAGAAAGTCAAAATTGTTTATGTCCCTGAAGTTTTGACAGCTAATGGTACCAAGTGTCAGATCATCTTTTAGGAAACTGGAAAATTCCTCCACCCACATGTTTATGTCTCCTTCCTGTTCTTTGACTTTNTGCTCAGCAGACTTCACCTTCAAGACAGATTTCCACACAAGTTGTCACCAGCAGACTTTCTTCAAATAGGTCAACGTGTGACACACAGCCATGACATATCTGAGAAAGATCTCGCTAATACCTTTGTTCAGAGGTTAATGATGTTAGACTACAGAGCCAGATATATTCCTGTAAAACAAGACAGTCCTGAGCCGGGATCTTCACACGCTTTGCCAGTGTCTGACAATGATGACACAGATGACTTTGATGCTCTTTTTAGTAATGATACAGACTCTGATCAGTCAACACAGACTCAGGTGCATCCAATGGATGTTCAAATGGCAGTGTTCCACTGCTCCAACAGCTTTCTGAAGCAGAACTTCATGACAAAGTTATCTCAGTGTCAGTACGCTTTACCTTTGCTTGTTCCTCACCCAGTCACAATGGACATTGAATGTCCTTTGTGGGCATTCAGACAAATCATAAAAACATGGAAGATAACTCAAATCAAAGATGGCTCACAAAGTGTCACCATGAAGCACATGCCGATCTGCAAAGCTGAAACGTCCATGGTGTCTTTCTTCCGCCTTGGTTCACTTTCTGTGTCTAAATCTCAGCTGATGAACACTTTGATCAACGAGCGTCACAACACGTTCTTCCACAGAAACTGTCCAGGAAGCACCAAAACTCGCCATTTAATGGAAGGTGTGGCAGAGATTGCCTGGTACTGCCCTGCTGCAGGATCCAATGATTCCTTCACTGACTGCATTGCCTTCTGCAATCTTCATGGAGATGCTCTATTGATGGAAAAACAACGTGAAATACTGATTGAAAGATCTTCAATCAATGTTGTTCTTGTACCAACTCTGGAAAAAAGCCAGAAAAGTACCAAAGTCATCTCAGTCCTTCACAAGTCTCCAAAGCCCCTCATTATCCTTGTTGCTGACAGTGATTGTGGTGCACGTAAGATTAAAGAGGGAAAATACAAAATGGGCCTGAAAGACAGAAGTCAGTCAGATGTTTCAGAAGAACTAAAAGGACTTATTGGAAAGATTTTGTCTGGACCACACACGTCCTTCCAGCTGGAGTCTATGGCCGAGATCTCTGGAATCAGAGTGGATGAAGATGACACAGTCTGCCAAAAAGGCAAATCTGCTGCAATGGAAACACTTCATGTGCTTCAGGGGACAAATGTTTCGAATATCAAAGACACATTTCTTCCTTGCCAAGGCCAACTGTGGCACAAGTGGTGCAGAATTAACAAAGAACTGTATCATCTCAAAGGACACATTGAGGAAGAGAAAAGTAGAAGGGAACAGGAACTGATGGAAATACGACTGGATCAATGCAGCAAAGCTTCCTTCAGTAAACTGATGACGCCATTCACTGATAGCCTCTCGTCTTTGCCGTCAAAAGACAAAGAGTACTACCTGAAGTGGACTCAGATCTTAATAGATGCCCTCTCCACAGATGATCTCTCTTCAATTCTCCAAAGCTATGATGAAAAGTGGTCTGAGGTCTTGGATCTGAAGAAAAAGAAAGACAAATCTGCTCTGTTAATAAGGAAACAAAAGGAGCTTGAACAAATATCCAACAACCTGCAGTCAGCCACCTTTGGCTTGGAGCACATGTTTCGAGAAATGGGACAGATCTACGAAGCCCATAAATCTCAGGAAAAACCAGGAACCAGTGGACAGAATAACTGGTCCAGATACCCTGAGCTGGCAGCAGATCTGATGATATCGGGACACCCAATGGAGCTGATGGACGGTGATGCAGGTCATGTGCCTTTGACATGGCTCTCTGCTCTTTTAGATGAAGTCATCAAGAAACTGGGAGACCAGAGGGTGTTTGTGTTGTCAGTTTTGGGCATACAAAGCAGTGGAAAGTCAACGATGCTAAATGCCATGTTTGGTTTGCAGTTTGCTGTCAGTGCCGGCAGGTGCACCAAGGGTGCCTTCATGCAGCTGGTCAAAGTGTCAGAGGAGCTCAAGAAGGGCTTCAGGTTTGACTACATTCTAGTGGTGGACACTGAAGGACTGCGTGCACTTGAGTTAGCAGGTAAAGCCACTTCTAACCACGACAATGAACTGGCAACATTTGTTGTTGGTCTGG